ACCGCAGGCCAGCCCGTGCCAAGCCGTCAGAAAAGGCGCTCCTGCCCTGGCCCATCAGACCAGTTCCCTCACAGCTAGCGAGCCAGCCACGTCTGACGCCAGCCCCAGCCTGCACCGTGACCAACACTCCTTGAAACAGGCCTTGTTCATTTTTAAAAATAATTATTTACTGGGTCCAGCAGGTGGCATGGTGGTTACAGCGCTGGACACGCCCAGACCTGGTGGCTTACTTAATCACTTTCCCTCTCTTTCTCTGTGTCTCTCTGATCAAATTAAGTGAATGAATAAATAAAATTAAATAAATAATTATTTAAAAAATCATTTACGGGGAACCAGCAGTTAGTGTAATGGCTATGTCGCTGGACTCCCACGTAGTCGACCGCAGTTCGTGTCCTGGACCCAGTGGCTTAAAACTCACACCGGGCGCATGTGCGTGCGTGCCCAAGATCCCAAGAGGAGAATGGAGGAGAAGGGATTGCGGTGTGACCATCCCCCCTGGGGGGTGATTTCTCGCTTTCTGTCTCTCTGTCTCTCTCTCTTTGGCGAGCGTACGTGCCCTATTGTGAAAAAACCTCTCCGAAAAAATCATTTACTTAACTTTATTATTTTTTAAATTTTTAAAAAATTTTACCAAAGACAGAGAGAAAGAGACGAAAAGTGAGAAAGCAAGCTACCAGGTCCAGTACTCAAACTGTGGTCTACCATGTGGGAGTCCAGCGCCTTAACCACCATGCCACCTGCTGGCCCCAAGGGCTTTGTTCTTTATTAAGAGTAGAATTCTCAGGGATTCACAGAGAACCTACCCACGGTAAACGCTCAGTGTTTGTTAAATGAGTGAACACTATTAACTAATTAAGGAATATCTAAGGCTTACAGAAGAAAACCAAATTATTCAAAGGGAAGAGATTTTTTTTTGAGAGGTTTTCGCTATAGGGCGTGTGCGCTTGCCAGACAGAGAGACAGAAAGCGAGAAATCACCCCCCAGGGGGGAATGGCCACACCATAATCCCTTCTCCTCCATTCTCTTCTCAGGATCTTGGACACACACGCACACGCACCCGGCGTGAGTTTTAAGCCACCGGGTCCGGCACGTGAACCTCGGTCAAGTACATGGGAGTCCAGCGACAGCCATTATACTAACTGCTGGTTCCCAAAGGGAAGAGATTTTTATCTTCAGGTACACACGTGCACACCCAGCCCACCCCATGTATGGATGCATGAAAAGATTTAATATGATAAAGACTAAACTACTTTAATATGATCTGAACTTCAAATTTCTTTTTAAAAATATATTATTGTGGGAACCAGCAGTTAGCGTAATGGCTATGTTGCTGGACTCCCACGTAGTCGACCGCGGTTCGTGTCCCGGACCCAGTGGCTTAAAACTCACGCCGGGCGCGTGTGCGTGCGTGCCCAAGATCCTGAGAGGAGAATGGAGGAGAAGGGATTGCGGCGTGACCATCCCCCCTGGGGGGTGACTTCTCGCTTTCTGTCTCTATGTCTCTCTCTGTCTGTCTGGCGAGCGCACGCGCCCTTACAGTGAAAAAAAAAAAAAAAAAAACCTTTCAAAAAAAAAAAAAAAAAAAGAAGAACAAAGAAAAATATATTATTGTTACTTCAATTCACCAGAAAGAGACAGAGAGAGGGAAAGTGAAAAAGCAAGCCACCAGGTCCTAGACTTAAACTGCAGTCAGCCATGGGACAGTCCGGCCCTTAACCACCACGCCACCTGCTGGCCCCAAGTATCACTGCTCTTATCTGGGGGCTGGCAAATGCATGTGCTGCTGCTGGGCGCCCACGGGGGAGTGCTGGGAGGGGCAAGGGCATGGACCACTGGGGCCTGAGTGACCAGCGTGACGTGGGTCAACAGTACGTGTAGAGCACAACCAGGACAGAGCTCGCACGTGCAGCCGGGCCTGTGACGCAGGGGACGACTCAGGTAAGCTGCCCGAGGGCGGCCTTCTCAACCAGGTTTTGGGACTGGCAGGGAGACGGGGTGGGGCCAGACTGCTTTCTGACATTAAATAAGTTCTGTGTCCCTGAAAGAAAGATCCAAACGTAGAAATCACTGGAGGGCTTGCAGTGGGGGCATGTTCTGCTGAGTTGTGTGCTCTGCCGAGAGCCGGAACCACAAGGGCCTGGCCGGCTACGCTGTCTGCTCTGACCTGAGCATGAGTGCGGAGGTGCCCGGGGCCCGCGGAGTGGGAGGCTGCGGAGGTGTGCCCGGGGCCCACGGAGTGGGGGGCTGCATCTGGACAAGGAAGCTTGAGAATGACCGGGGCAAAACAGCAAGATCTCGTCTGAAAAGAAAGAGCTGACTGTGGTGGCCTGTGCCCAGCTGGGAGGTAGAGAGAGGCAGGAGGATTTGGCAGAGTCCCTTCCCATAAAAACCTACTAGAAAAACAACACAGGTGAAGATCTTGAACACCGGGTACGATTATGTGACGGTCAGGCTGGCTGCTGGTGTGGTTAAGGCGGCTGGATCCCACACGGCCAACTGTGGTTTGAGTCCCAGACACAGGACCTTAAAAAACATGTTGGGCACGCGTGTGCATGTGTGTGCGTGCATGTGCCCATGATCCCGAGGGGACTGTGCAGGAGTAGGAATGTGGCGTCCCCCCCAGGGAAGGTGCTTTGGCACTTCCCATCTCCCCCTCCTTGTCTCCTCCTGGTAAGGGCATGTGTGAGTCTATAGCAAATTAAAAAAGAAAAGATTATATTAGGTCAAAGAAAAAGATGGCCATGTTCAAGAATTCATAAAATTTCATGTTTGAAAAACCTCTACTCAAAAGAAAATTATCTGTCAGAATGACAAAGGACCAATTCCCTTCATACATAAAGAACACTACTAGAAAGTCAGAGAGCATTCTGATGACTGTGCATGACTTGAACAAGCAATTAAAACAGAGAGGTGGTGTGGTGGCTAAGGTGCTGGACTCCCACACGGTCAGCTGCAGTTCGAGTCCCGGACCTGGCAGCTCGCTCTCCCACTTTCCCGTTCTTTCGCTGTCTCTTTCTGATCAAAATAGAAATAAGTGGTAAGTAAAATAAATCATTCTTTAAAAAAAAAAAAAAAGAATTTTTTACTTTATTTATTTATTTAAATTTGACCAGAGGAAGACAGAGAGAAAGGGAAAGTGAGAAAGCAAGCTGCCAGGTCCGGGACTCAAACTGCAGCTGACCATGTGGGAGTCCACTGCCTTAACCACCACACCACCCGCCAGTTCCCAAAATAAATAATTCTTTAAAAAAAAAAAAAAGAGAAAAACCGGGGAAAGAAACAACGACCAAGTAGGAACAGGCACCCAGGGCTCGCGGGCCTCGGCCGGAGCTCCGAAGCACCGCTCAGCTCTCACGCGATGTGGGATCCTGACTGCTGTGAGGAGGGAGCCGAGGCCTCCAACGAGCTCACGGTCTGCATAAGCTGCTGAGTGCAGAGCGGAGCCCGGAGGAATCCAAGTCAGATGCCGCCGCCTGAGCTAACGTGCCTGTCGGGGCAGAGCGGGCAAGGGCGGCCATGGCTGTGGGACTGGTGTGAGGCAACAAGCAGTCAGACTGCCCGCAGGTGGCCTGGCGGTTAAGGCAGCTGGCCCTAGGTGGCTGACTGGATGGTTTGAGTCCTGGCCCTGGCAGCCTGAAAACACACTGTGCTCGAAACCCTGAGACATGGATGGAGGAGAGGGGACTGACATGGCATCCCTCCAGGAGACTTCTCTCTCTGGAGAGCACAAACGCCCTACAGCAAACTAGAAAGAAGAAGAAGAAGAAAGAAGAAAGAAGAAGAAGAAGAGTGGTGGACAACACGCCAGGACAGCTCCAGAGCGGTCTAACACACAGACTGTCCAGCGGGCACCTGCAAGGCGGCTCGGCATGCTCTGTGCGACCGGCACGGGGGTGTGTGTGTGTGTGTGTGTGTGTGGGGGGGGCTTCCGCCGTGCCGCTCTGTACCTCTCTGGAGTGACCCCGCAGTGACGCCGCGGCAGGCCAAGCACAGCTGTCTGAGCTGACTTACCCTGTGGAGGCCTACACGCCACGCCCAGAGCCAGCATTTACAGGGACAAGGAGCTGGCCAGAAACCCTGTCACACAGATGGGTGGCAACGTGAGGGCTGATTGGGGACTCGTGGGACGAAGTCTTGTTGAAAACTACGTCATGTGTGGCAACAGGAGAGGCTGAGTGCTGTCTGGACCCACGGGACCCGAGGGCTAGCCGGGCCGCCCAGCCACTCCAGAACTCTGCCTGAGGGTGGGGCTCCAAGTATGGCCAACCTGTCCGGTGTGAAGGACACAGTCACTGGGTTTTAAGAATCCCACGTTCTCTCTCTGTCCCTGTCTCTCTCTCTCTCTTTTTTTTTCTCTTTTTTCTTTAAGAGTTTTGCATTAGGGTCCATGTGCTCACCAGAGAGAGAGACAGACAGACAGACACAGTGAGAGGTAAAGTGAGAAAGCACCCCCCAGGGGGATGGCCACACCGCAATCCCTTCTCCTCCTGGGCACACATGCATCCGTGCCTGGCGTCATTTTCAAGCCACTGGTCCAGGACCCAAACCAGGTCGGCCATGTGGGAGTCCAGCAACATAACCGCTGCGCCACCTGCTGGCCCCAGAGCGTCTCGCGCCCTTGCTAACAGGATCTGACGAGGCAGATGTGACCCGCACACGCCTCCTGAACAGGCTGGTACATGGCTCACAACCTTCGCTCCTTGGAGAGCATGAACTTAATAAAAGCTATGCAGGACGCGTGCTTTCGTAAACACGAGGCATCCGGCTAGTGCCTGCGAGGCCAGGCGGTGCTACGTACGGTCTCCTTCATCTGGATCTGGTTGATCTTGATCCTGAACAGCTTGTGCTTGAACTCCCCGTTGAACACAAATCTGTCTCCGTCTTCCACTTCCCTTTGGGACTCTTGATCAGAACCCGAGCTCGGCCGCAGGCCAGGGACTGCAGTGTTCTCCGCAGTTCGCTGTCCTCTGGGAAGAAGCAGACACGGGCAGTCAGTGGCCGGCATGACAGGGACCCGAGGGCAGCAGGGACATGGTGCACCCACATGACTGGCAGGGCCTGGGCCTGTGACTGCTCTTAAAATGAACACACGTGGGACAAGATTCTGGACTCCCATATGGCCTACCACAGTTCGAGTCTCAGACCCGGCAGCTTAAAAATCACACCGGGTGCATGTGCAGGCCTCAAGTCCCCAGAGGAGAATGGAGGGGCAGTGTGGCCATTCTCCGGGGGTGATTTCTCACTTCCCTCTCGCCATCTCTCCCCGTTTCTCTCAGAAAAGTGCACACGCCCTAGGGCAAAAACCTTCAAAAACAGGACACATGCTCCCACCGCCAGAACAGGACACGCGGATCGCACGAGCGCGTACCGATCCCGGTGGCCATCTTGATGTCGGCGAAGGTGAACGTGTCGCCCTCGTTGTACATGAGCAGCACCAGCGTCTGGAACAGGGACACCTGCAGCTCCTTCTTCCCCTTCAAGAGAGCAGACCACAGCTCGGAGGGCCCACCCTTGGGCAGGAGAGATGCCTTCCAACACCATAAGGGGCGTGTGTGTGGGCGTCCACGTGCCCCCACGGTAGCGTGCACAGAGCAGTACACGGCCTGTGTGACCATGTGCAGGTCAGGGCACGATGGCTGTGCAGTGAGACCGTCACACCCTTTGGCGCCGTGCGTGACTGGGGCTCTCCCCGAGCTGCACACCAGGGAGGGGAAGGGCCTCCGCCCACACTGTGGGCCCGTCTCCAGGCCTCCCCCGGGTGCCAGGGGGCCCTGCAGTGGGAGCCGGCTCCGTTCGCTGGTCTGGGGCCGTGTTCCCTGGAGGTGGATTCCTGGAACTGAAATGAGGCGACAGAACACGGGACCCCAAGGGTTCTGAGACCACAGCAAACGGCTGAGGGGCTTCAGAAAGTTCATGGAAAAGCCACGCCATGAGAAAAGGTATGTGTGGGTCAAAAGTTTTACATCAAAACAAGCTCGTATGTAAATTCCATTTTTCGGGACCAGCAGATGGCATGATGGTTACGGCACTAGACTCCCATGTAGTCGACCGCAGCTCGAGTCCAGGGCCTGGCGGCTTAAAACTCACACTGGGCACATCTCCGATATCCTGAGAGAACGGACTGCAGCGTGGCCCCCCCGGGGCGATTTCTAGCTTCCTGTCTCTGTCTCTCTGTCTCTCTGACAAACACATGTGCAAAAACTTCTCTAAAAAAAAAAAATCGCTCGCACTTTTCCATGAGCCCCTCGCGTCCCCTCACACTTGTTAGCAGTCAATTTCTCAGTCCAAGGCGGCATCCAAGTTCTACCCTGAAACCCGGGGCCACAGAGAAGGGCCGTGCTGTGGGCTCTGGTCTCCTGGTTTTGCTTTCTTGAGTCGCCACTTCACCTCTGCTCTTTCCGATTAGGTAAGTGACCTTCTGCTCTCGATTTCGTATTATTTTTTAGAGAACTAATTTTGTAACTTACTGAACAAATAAAGCTAGCGCTGAGCTGTCTTTTTCTTTCTCTGCCACCGAAGTTCAGTGACAACTTACGAAACTGTATTAACACACTCGCAAAAAGTGAACAGCAGGTAAAGCAGGAACTCACCTCCTTAAACTCTGCTTTGAGGACGGCGTGCCCCAGGGTGGTCTGCCACTGGAGTTTCCGGCCGCTGTGCTTCCCCAGGTAGAACGTCTTGAAGACCTCCTGCAGCTTGACCATCTGCCGAGCACGGGAGACAGCAGACAGGCGCGCTCAGCACCGCAGCATGGGCGGGTCGGAGCCGGCGGGCCGTGGAGATGCGCGAGTCCGACGGGGCTACACCCGGCACACCTATGCCGAGCCCAGCGTGGCCCTCCCCGACAGACCTATCAGAGGGCCGGCATGGGACGGCGACCCTGCCAGGTGGAGGAGGCCTGGCTGCCCTCGGACTCTGGGCATCCTGCCACTTAACCTGGGTGGCACTCATTCACCCACAAGCTGTGCCGCCAACTCCACCCAGACCCGGGCTTGCGACGGCCAGTGGTGTGTGCTAGGACGAGCGGCTAGCACAGTCAGGCCCGTCTCAGTGCAGGCTGCCGTCTGTAGACCGACTGCACCGACACTCGCCCCTCCTCTGTGACACGGGTCATCACGTGCCCCTGCAGCGCTCTGTGAGGGTAGGGAGGGCTGGCAGAGACTGTGGGGGCTGGCGGCAGCTGTTACTTTCTGGGCCTGTCCCGTGACATCACTGCTGTGTGTGAGTGTGCCTGTGGGTGGACAGACAGCGGCCCTCTGCCTCCTCGCTGGGGCTCCGCTGTACACGGCTGCCGGCCTCTCCAGCTGCTCCGAGATGCAGTCCCAGGTCTCCTGTGGCCCCGGCCCACAGCGGCACCTCCCTCTGTAAGCTGTGAGCTCTCCCGTGTAGAGCAGACGGAGCGGGGCAGTGTTCCTGACATCACAGCATTTAGGACAAAGGTAGGGGTCGGCCCCGTCTTAGCGGCAGAGGGGTCGAGCCTGCAGGGCTACCTGCAGTTCGAACCCTTGCCCTGTGGCCTGGAAAAGACACTGGGCATGTGCATGCAGTTCCTCAATGCCTAACAGAGGGAGACACGGAGCAGGACAGACTGTGTGGGGACTACATCCTGCGCGGGGTGCTCGCCCTCTCTGCCCCTCTCTAGCCAGTGCATGTACTCTCTGGCCATTAAAAAGAAGCAGTGGAAGGGGGGACCAGCAGTTGGCGTAGTGGCTATGTTGCTGGACTCCCATGTAGTTGGTTGCGATTCTAGTCCTGAACCCAGGGGCTCATAAACTCAGGCCAGGTCCACGTGCGTACATGCCCAGGATCCCGAGAGGAGAATGGAGAAGGGATTGTGGCGTGGCCATCCCCCCTGAGGGTGACTTCTCACTTTCTGTCTCTCCATCTCTCTCTGCCTTTCTGGCGAGCTCACGTGTCCTATAGCAAAAACCTCTCCAAAAAAACCCAGAGGAGCGATGGAGAAGGTGGGAAGCAGAGGGAGTGACCGGTGGGAGGCAGAGGAGACAACCAAGGCGGGCACTGCTCCACCCTGCCCCAGAGTCCAGAGGAGGTGCTGCCGATGCCAGCGAGGGCAGGGAGACGCCCTGCTACTCCCAGGCCAGGCTCCATGCTTCGCCACTCTGCACCTGCCTGTGCCCGCCTGTGCCCTCGCCCAACGCACTCATCCCTCCTCTACGGAAGACTGGCTGAGGTCTTGCCTTTTCCAGGAAGTCCTCCACGATTCCGCCCTGGGCCCGGCCCTCCTGCCCAGCGGGGCATTGTTAGCAGTGCATGCGCTGCTCCCTGCTGCGCTGCCTCCCCCACGAAGCCCTCTGGCCCCAGAAGTCGGGGCTCCTCGCCAGGCCGAGTGATGCTGGTCCTGAGATGCTGCACTGGCTACGCCAGGAGGGACCGGCGGCAGAACAGCCGCCGTGGCCCGAGCACACATGCCTGCAGAGCCATGCGGCGGTAAGGGGGCTGCACAGAGGCAGGGCCTGGATGGGTCACACTCCAACGCTGCCCTCCAGAGGCCACGGAGCCTTCTGGGTTTGGATGGGGGTTTCTGGGCAGAGGCCTCTCATCGACTGCTGCCTGAAGTCACGTGCCTGCACACGCGGGTGACGCAGGGGCAGACCAAGCTCGGGGACATGTGTGCACACGCGGGTGACGCGGGGCAGACCAAGCTCGGGGACATGTCTGCACACGCCGGTGGCGTGGGGCAGGGCGTGGAGACGCCTGTACACGCGGGTGACACAGGGGCAGACCAAGCTCGGGGACATGTCTGCACATGCAGGTGGCGTGGGGCAGGGCAGGGCGTGGAGACGCCTGCACACACGGGTGGCATGGGGCAGGGAGGGGCGGGGCGACTCACCTCTGGAGGCACGTGCACCTCCATGGGCGTGTAGGTCGGCCAGTAGCCCATGGTGAGGACGTTCACCGTGAGGTCGATGGAGCCGGGCTCGCTCTGGTTCTGCATGTGCTGGAGACAGAGCCCAGGTGAGGAGGCATGCTCCGAGGGCCGGCAGCCCACAGGAGCACGCGATGCAGTGGCTCTCACGGCCTGGAACACCTGTGCCGGGCCACTGGCCCTGCCCCTGGCTGGGGCAGTTTTCCTCTTGGTCACGTCCCCACACAACAAACTGGGCGCCACCTGGGCTGTGCCGGGCCTCCTCAGGGCCCCTTCTCTCCCCGCTCGGACTGGACTTGGCGGGCGTGCGAGACACGGACACGTCGCTGAGAGCAGGCGCGGCTCACCTGCTTGAAGTGGACCATGACGTCCTTGGAGAGCTCCATGTCCTTGAACATGCCCTCCAGCTTGCTGGTGAAGGCCGCGCCGCACTCTGCAGGCGGGAGCAGCAGTGGCAGTGAGG